TCTCCACTGCCAAGCAGTGATGACTGATTTGAGCATAGAGATTAAATATGTGGGCTTTGGAGCCAGCTTGCGTGACTCTCGACCTTGCAGAATGAACTTGGACAAGCTAGTTAGTCCTGTTGACAATGAGGTTTTGCTCTATTCTCGACAGAATTGCAGTAGGTTGTGTGCGAGACATGAATGAGGCAATTTGTGCAGGTGGTTGCACGGGGCTTGTGCGTGGCACCCGCTTACTACACATATGACGGCATATATGTATGACCTCAGTCAACGGTGCTAGTACACACTTGTGCAGAAACTTCTGCTTGACGCCTCTTTGACTCACCCACCACCCACATCTAGTTCGCCAGCATGTTTCTTCTCCCCGTTCATGCCCTGTGAGGCTATGCCTCATCTCTTCTTTTTATTTTATTTTATTGTTTAATGTTTGTTTATTTTTGAGAGAGAGAGAGAGACAGAGCATGAGCAGGGTTGGGGCAGAGAGAGAGAGGGAGACACACAATCCAAAGCAGGCTCCAGGCTCCGAGCTGTCAGCACACAGCCCAACGTGGGACTTGAACTCACAGACCGTGAGATCATGACCCGAGCTGAAGTCGGACGCTTAACCGACTGAGCCACCCAGGCGCCCCTAGACCTCCATCTCTTATCTGTCCCCTGCAGCAGCCACCTGCCTGCTCTTCCTGCATCTGGGCTTATCCCCTCTCCCCCAGAATGTTCTCCGCAGCAGACGTTCTCAAGCTTAGCGGAGAATGTCCCCTCCTGCCTGAGCCCTCCTGTGGTTCCCATCAGCCATGAGTGAACCCCGCTCCTGACCCTCACATTGTGGCCCGTGTCCTGCCAGCTCTCCAGCCCCGCCTCTGTCTCTCCCCACTGCATTCTGACATGCTGGCCTTCCTTCTGTCCCTCAGACACACCAGCACTCACCGTCCCCTCACAGTTTTTTCACATGCTCCCTCTGCCTGACCTGCTCTTCCCTCAAGTCTCCACACGTTGCCTGCCTGTCATTCAGGTCTCCATTCAAAGGTCATCTCCTCAGACCCCTTTGCACTGCTGGTGGGAATGCAAAGTGGTGCAGCTGCTCTGCAAAACAGTATGGAGGTTCCTCAAACAAATGAAGAATAGGACTACCCTACGACCCAGCAATTGCACTACTAGGTATTTATCCAAAGGATAACAGGAGTGCTGATTCTATTGGGCCCATGCACCCCACTGTTCATAGTAGCCAAAGTATGGAAAGAGTCCAAATGTCCATCGACTGGTGAATGGATAAAGAAGTGGAATACACACACACACACACACACACACACACACACACACACACACACAGAGGAATATTCCTCAGCTATCAAAAAGAATGAAATCTTGCCATTTGCAACAACGTAGATGCAAGGAGAGTGTATTCTGTGAAGCGAAATTAGAGAAAAACAAATATCATATGACTTCACTCATGTATGGAATTTAAGACACGAAACAGATGAACATAAGGGAAGGGATGCAAAAAGAATATAAACACATAAGAGACTCTTAAATACAGAGAACCAACTGAGGGTTGCTAGAGGGGTTGTGGGTGGGAGGATGGGCTAAATGGGCGATGGGCATTATTAAGGAAGACGCTTGTTGGGATGAGCACTGGGTGTTATACGTAGGGGATGAATCGCTGGATTCTACTCCTGAAATCAAATCGTTATTGCACTACATGCTAACTAACTTGGATGTAAATTTAAGAAAAAAAATAATTAAAAAAAAAAGTCATCTCCTCTGCGAGATCTTCCCTGACCATTCTCTCTAGAGCCACCTTTACCCCACTGGTCACTAGTGCCGTTTTATTGTCCCTAAAGCACTTGTCATTATCCAGAATGATTTCATTTGTTTATTTCATCCTTGTGCGCCTCCCATTTAGAATGGAGTCACCAGGGAGGTTTACTGTTCATCCAGTAAACAGTCATCTTGGATCTTGTTCACGGGGGGTGTGTGTGTGTGTATGTGTGTGTGTGTGTGTGTATATATATATATATATGTATATATATGTATGTGTGTGTGTGTACACACACACACACACACACACACACACACACACACACACAATAGCACAGACTGAGGGGCTTAAGCAACAGAAATTTATTTTCTCACAGTTCCAGAGGATGGACAGTCCTAGATCCCGGGTCTAAGCACAGGTCAGTTCAGTTTCTGGTGAAATCTCTCTTCCTGCTTCTTGCTGCAACCTCACATAGCATTTTCTTTCATTTCCCCTTTGCATTCCCGTGGAGAGGTAATGAGAGAGAGAAAGAGAGAGCTCTCTGGTGTCTCTTCTTATGAAGACAGTAATCTTATTGGATCAGGGCCCTACCCTAATGACCTCATTTAACCTGGATTACCTCCTCTTTTTTTTTTTTTTTTTTTTAATTTTTTTAAATGTTTATCTTAGAGAGACAGAGACAGAGTGTGAGTGGGGAAGGGGCCAAGAGAGACACAGAACCTGAAGTAGGTTCCAGGCTCCGAGCTGTCAGCACAGAGCCCGACGCGGGGCCCAAACTCACAAACTGTGAGATCATGACCTGAGCCGAAGTCAGACGCTTAACCGTCTGAGCCACTCAGGTGCCCCTAACCTTGATTACCTCCTTAGCGGCTGCATCTTCAAATACAGTCACACTGGAGGTTGGGATTCCGACACGGGAGTTTCATGATGCGGGGTACAATTACTCGGTCCATAATGTTCACCACTGTAGTGCCAGTACCAGAACCTAGAAGATAGCCTGGCATGTGCTAGGCACTCAATAAATAGTTGCTGAATAAATCAACGAGTCGTGAAAGTCCGCTTTCCTCTAAGTTCATACAGACGCTGCCCCACGTCTGGCATTCCATCCTGCAGGTCAGGGTGTGTCCCTGTACATCCCCCAGTCGGCCATCAATGCCACGGTGGAGGAAGACATCTTGCTCTCGGTTGAGTACTCCTGCCATGGCGTCCCCACCATTGAATGGAAGTACACCTCCAACTGGGGCGCACAGAAGATCGTGGAGTGGAAGCCGGGCACTCAGGCCAACATCTCCCAGAGCCACAAGGACAGGCTCTGCACTTTCGACAACGGCTCCATCCAGCTCTTCAGCGTGGGCGTGAGGGACTCGGGCTACTACATCATCACGGTGACGGAGCGCTTGGGGAGCAGTCAGTTTGGCACCATCGTGCTGCACGTGTCAGGTAAGGCAGCCCCCCCCGGGGCCTGGCACCTCTCTGAACTGCCCACGTGTGGGGCAGCGACTTCGTGGTATTAAAAGAGCCATTATCTTCCCCTTGCCCTGCCCGCCCCGTAGAGATCCTCTACGAAGACCTCCATTTTGTGGCTGTCTTCCTTGCTTTGCTCGCTGCCGTGGCCGCGCTGTTAATCAGCCTCATGTGGGTCTGTAATAAGTGTGCGTATAAATTCCAGAGGAAGAGAAGACACAAACTCAAAGGTAATTCTCTGGGCCCTGTGGTGATCCATTCACGATTTTATGGCTGGAGGTGGTTCTTGTTATCCTGGTCTCACCGAGAACCAACCCCCCCGTGGCTGGCGGGCAACTGACCGGCTTGTCTTTTGCTTTGCAGAGAGCACCACTGAGGAGATTGAGCTGCAAGATGTGGAGTGTTAGCCAAGGCTGCGCCCAGTTACATTCCTACCTCAAGAGGAGAAGAGTACTTTCCACAAAGGGTGCGAACGCCGCCAATCTCCCCTCCCAGCCTCCTGCCGCCTGGCCGTAGCCACACGGTCCCGAGGGGACTGCGGATGTTAGCGAAATTGACTCCGTGGATTCCAGGACTCTGGATTGGACAAACTCCGCTCTAGTACTTGCAAGAAGCTCAAGGAGCAGCGTGCTTGAGGCTTTGGGCCAGAGCCTCGCTCGGCTGCTGCTTTGCGGACCCATGCCAGTGGCCTCGTGCTGGTGGGGCCGCTTGCTAGCTACACTTGTCGCGGCCCTGGGGGTGGCCGCTGGAGGTGTCCCCGTGTCCGAGGCCGGAGTGGCCCTGGACCGAGCGTGCAGCCAGCATTGGACAGGCTCTCCGTGTTCCTTTCTGCTCTGCTGGTCCCTCCAGCCTCTGCTGCGGGAGCTACTGTGAGAAAACCCGACACTTTTAGATGATCTGCCTGCCATGCAAGGGGAGAGACTGGGCCCTAATGAGATGCTTGGAGCAGACCCCGGGGCCTGGTTAGGGAGAGGGGCTCCGCTTGTTCCTGAGGGACCAGCGTCAGAAGCAAGGAATAGGGAGAATATGACCTCTCTCTTCTTCTCGTAGCCCAACATTAATTGGATTTTCCCTCCTCTGGCCCCTACTTAGGCCAGAGTGAGGAACACCGATGTTCATCTCCACTGTGGGCAGCAGCTGGCCTCCAAATGGCTTCCCGACAAGCCAGGTTCTGGTACCTATGAAAGCGACCCTGTGTGGTGGGTGGTACAACTGTGCCCCTCATCACCAACACTTTGTCTCAAGTCAGGCCCTTGCTCCCTCCCAAGTGGGCTTAGGAACACTTGGCGCTCACCTACCTCACAGTCGGGGTATCAGGTGAAGCCCACAGTATGCACAGAGCTCACTGAGCAATTTCAGGAAAGCAGGAGGATTCTCCAAGGGTCTGGAAAGCCAAGCAGGCTACCGAGTGCTGTAAACTGATACACGCTCTGGTGTACCGGGGCTCCGCGGGGACCTGGGAACTAGAGCACAAGTGGCCTGGGCTCTTAGGCTCTCGGCTTGTCAGTCACCGTGTTTACTTGAAAGTTTCTCCACCCCGACTTCCATTTGGCAAGCTCTAAATAGGCATGAACTTGTTTTCCATTATCCTTTCTCTCTCCAACACTCTTAGCTACAGACCAAACGCACCAGCGCAATTAGTGGAGCATTCCCTTCTCTTCTCCTCTTTGTTTTTTGAAATGTTTGTTTTTGCGAGAGACGGGTGGGGGGGGGGGGGCAGGGAGGGGCAGAGAGCGAGGGGGACAGAAGATTCAAAATGGGCTCTGTGCTGTCAGCAGAGAGCCCGACTTGGGGTATGAACTCATGAACTGTGAGATCATGACCTGAGCCGAAGTCCCATGCTTCACCAACTGAGCCACTCAGGTGCCCCTCTCTTCGCTTGAAGTCCCCAGTGTCAGTATCTTTTCTCCTTCCCATGTGGCAAAAAAAGTTGACTGGAGAAGGTGGGCCTTTCTCTAAATAATCCGGGGTAACAAGAAGGGATTTTTGGAGTAGTCACGACAGGAGCTCTGTGCTCTTAGAGAAAGACTCTAAAGGCATTACTTGATTCAAAAGGCAAGACAGCAGTTGGTCTACCAACTGATTTGTAGCTTGAGCACCTGCACAGAGAAGGTTCTCACCCCCCAGGCCACCTCCTGTGCACACACTTGTAAGCACGCACACCTGTGCCCTTTCCCCAGGCAGCAGTCAGAGGAGCCAGTCCCCCACCGGGATGGGTTCCTCATACAAGTCCCCACTATCATGAAGAAGCAGGGTGGGAGTACGGGAATAAAAAGGGGGTCAAGGATAATCTGATTAGTTCTTTCTTCTCTTTCCCACAGAAAGCCCATCAGCGGGAAACCCGTTTGGATCCGGGCACCTGCTGGCATCTGTGTGTGCTCTTTTACACCACCTGCTTTCCAGAACTGTGCTTCTAGCTTGTCAGAAGTCAGGGGTGGTAATCTCCAGAATAAAAGGAGAAATGGAAAAGTGGAACCAGTGAGAGGCCTTCATGGCAAACCCAAATGTAAATTAAACTGCCCCCCACCCCAAAGCTCATGAAAAGTTATGCCCCTGGCTTTCCATTTCTTTATTTTGCACTTTTAAAGCTCCCTCCATCCTGAACAGTCTTGTGGAAAGTATTTGATTCCAGAGCCTGAAGTGTTTGTCTATTTTTCAGAAAAGAAAATCTGAAATTCCAGAGGTTGGCCACTGGAAATGTTAAGCTATAAGTTATGTTTTAAACTGTGAAGGAAAAAAAAATTGTTGTAAAGAACAAAATAAAGCCTGAAAATAAAGCCCCAGCCCTTTGTGTGTGAGCCCAGTCCTGCCAAGCGCTCAGAGGCCCTGGGTGAGGTTTCCATCACCTGTGGGCATTAGAAAAACCCCAGCCACAGCCATGGGTCTGGCACCTTTTTTATTTTTATTTTTTTCAATATATGAAGTTTATTGTCAAATTGGTTTCCAGACAACACCCAGTGCTCATCCCAAAAGGTGCCCTCCTCAATACCCATCACCCC